TCAGTACTGTCCTTCTTTTTTTTTTTTTTTTGAGACAAGGTCTCAGTCTGTCACCCAGGCTGGAATACAGTGGTGTCATCATAGCTCTCTGCAGCCTCCAACTCCTGGGCTTGAGCTATCCTCCTGCCTCAGCCTCCTCAGTAGCTGTGATTACAGGCGTGTACCACGCAGCCTGGCTAATTTTTTAAATTTTTTGTAGACGGGGTGCCCAGGTTGCCAGGTGCTCACTAGTGCCCAGGTTGGTCTCCAACTCCTGGCCTGAAGCGATCCTCCCGCCTGGTCTCCCAAAGTGCTAGGATTACAGGCGTGAGCCACCGTGCCGGGCCAGAACCGTCTTTCTCAAAGTTCAGGGCCGGTGGTTCTTGTCCTGAGCTGCAGATTAGAATCGGGAGCTTTTCCCACCTACGGCTCCCAAATGGATAAATGCACTGTGGTGCCTTCACGCTGTGGAATTCACACAGCCCTGAGCATGAACCACACACAGCAACATGGGCGCATCTCACAGACATAAGGCTGAGAGACAGAAGCTAGACAGCAGGCAACACACTATCCGTTTCCACTTACGAAGCACAAAGATAGATCAATTACTCTAAGGTGTTAGAAGTCAGGAGAGTGGGTGCCTTCGGGGAAGATGGAGACTGAGCGAGGCCACAAGGGCCTTTTTGGGTACTGGTTTAACTTTCCTGCTAGTGACACAGTTTGCACACTTTGAAAATTCACTGAGCCGTGCACTTGTATGCCCTTTTCTGGACACATGTCATACTTTACTGTAAAATTTCAAAAAATGTTCTGATGCCCATGCCTCCTCCCACTGAAATGCCAAATAAAGTCAGAATCTCTGCAAGGTGAGATGAGATCTGCGCATCAGTATTTGTACAAGCGATTATCTAAACGTGCAGCCAGAATCTAGCCCCACTCACTTGCCATTCCTATTTTAGAGACGGGCAAGCTGTCAGCCCGTCGGTTCCCCTTGAGGGTGGGGCATCTGTCTTGTTCACGGCCGTACGCCCTGCCGCTCTTGCATTCGCTGCAATGCTCAGTAAAATTTGTTGAATGAATGAATGAGAATTAGAAGCTTGGTTTTACACCTTTGGTGACCTCATTCGGGCTTTAAATATGCTCTTAATAAGCTGCCCCTCTTGAATTTTTATCTTCATTCTTGTCTCTCCTCTAAACCTGAGTCTTGTTTATGTAACTGTCTCCCGGACAGTTTTACTTAACATCTAACAGGCATCTCAGATATGGCCTGTCCAAAACAGAACTCTTGATTTCCTGCTTGTAAACCTGCTCTTCCTGCAGTCTTCATGTCGGTGAAGGGTATGGGGCTTGGGTGCCAAACCTTGGGGCATCTTCAACTCCTTTCTTTCTCTCACCCACTCACTTGATCCAACAGCAAAACAACTGGCCCTATGTTTAACATACGTCTTGAATCTATTTCTTATCACCCCCACGGATCCAAGCCCATACCACCTCCTGCCTCGACTGTTTCAGTAGCATAGAAGTCAGATCATGACACTCCACTGCTCAGAATCCTCCCATGGCTCCCCAGTACACTTGGAATGAACTACAAACTCCTCAGCCTGGCCTCAAGGCCATCTGTGACCTGGCTTCTGCTAGCTCCCTGAATTTATGTCAGCACTGATCTTTCCCGATTCTACCCATGCGTGCCTGCCCTCTGGCCCTTGAACAAACCAAGCTCCTTCCCACTTGGCCTCAAGGTCATCTGTGATTTGGCCTCTGCTCGTTCCTGGAATTTATCTCAACAGTGTCCTTACTTTCTCTGTGCCACCCATGCATACCTGCCCTCTGTCCCTTGAACACACCAAGCTCCTTCGCACTTCAGGGCCTTTGCACTACTGTTCTCTCTGCCTGGAAATCTAACCCCCTCCCCCACAGCCCTATTTATTGCCTTCAGAGCATTTAGCATTGTCTGAAATTTCCCTGTATATTGACATGTTTATCTTTCTTGTCTCCCCAAAAGAATGTCAGCTCCCTGAGATCAGAGTGTAAATCTTTCTTGTTCATAGCTTTATCCTGAGTGCATAAATAGTGCCTGGCACGCAGAACAGTGTCCCCTTTCTGTTACATAATATTAAGAAAAATAGCTTAATGTTAGACTGAAAATTTGGGGGAAAACATTAATGAGACTTACTCCAAACATGAAACTGTTTTAAAATAATGGCTGACATTTACTGAGCACTTTTTATGTGCCGGGCACCATTGTGACAGGTTTCCATATATCCATTCATTTAACCCTTAAAAGAGATCCTATAAGGGCCGGGCATGGTGGCTCAACACCTGTAATCCCAGTACTTTGAGAGACTGAGGTGGGAGGATCGCTTAAGGCCAGGAGTTTGAGACCAGCCTGGGCAACATAGTGAGACCCAATTTGTACAAAACATTTTTAAAACTACCTGGGCATGGCAGGGCATGCCTGTAGTCCCAGCTACTTAAGAGGCTGAGGCAGGAGAATTGCTCGAGCCCAGGAGTTTGAGGTTGCTGTGAGCTAGGCTGATGCCACGGCACTCTAGCCCGGGCAACAGAGCAAGACTCCATCTTAAAAAAAAAAAAAGAAAATGGGCATAATGATAGGGTATACCTCAACCTCAGAGGGCTCTTGGGAGGGCTAACTTAGTATTGTAAAGTACTTAGAGCAGCGCCTGGCACAGAGTAACTGCTACATCGAGTGATTGTTAAATAAGAATATTTATTTTGTTTATTTTGTACGTCTCTGTCGCTAGAGGCCAGGCAGGGATTTTGTCTGTCCTGTTCTATGTGGAGTCCCTAGCACCTAGAACAGTGTTCAGTATGTTTTTGGTGGTTTTCCTTTTTAAAGGTGAGAAAACTGAGGGACATAGTGTTTGTTCCCCTTCTTGATGCTCAGATCCTACCCCAGACCAATCAGATCAAAAACTCTGAGGGTGGGACCCAGGCAT